TGCGGGAGTTCTTGAGGCATGGAGCTTATTGTCCATCTGTTCCACAAACAGGGCTTGCCCATCGAAGGGAAGGTCTTACATCGACTGCTGAGCCTCCGTGGACAAGCCAGAGAGGAACAGCCAGGATACCCAGTGCATAGCAACGGCTGAGGCCAGGGTTCGGGCGGGGATGTCCGCCGCATCCAACGCTGCCTGGAGCGTCACCGTGGCTGCAGTCATGCCCTCCTCCATGATTGCCCAGAACTCCTCCTTAAAATCACAGCATCCCAGGACAGTCTGATGGTTGACCACCCTCAACTGGAGACTAGAGGACAAATAAACCTTACGCCCAAACAAGGCTAGTCTCTTCGAGTCCTTTATTCTTAGGGGTAGCTCTGGGTTGACCTTGTTGCTCCCTGTGGTTAACTGCCTCTACCACTAGGAGTTGGGAGCAGAGTGGGTGTACAGGTACTCGTGGCCTTTGGATGGCACAAAGTACTTGTGCTCAGCCCTCTTAAAGACGGAGGGAATAGGAGGGAGTTTGCCACAGGGTATTAGTGCTCTTTGAGACCCCCTCATGAAGGGGCAAAGCCACCCTGGCCAGTGCTGTGGAGCAGAGGACATCAAAGGAGAGTCTCAGGACTCCTTTAACTCCTCCACCTGAAGGCCCAGGTTGGCAGTGAACCTCTTCAGTAGTTCTGGTTCACTTTAGCATCATCCAGAGGAACCAGAGGAGGGGGCCCCGTTATAGTCTCGTCTGGTGACGACGAGGATGCCCATGCCATAGGGTCCTCCACAACCATTGGTGGCCCAGTGGCTTGCTCCCCTACTCCCTGTTGGACCTGCAGGGTCCTTGCACCTGAGGTTCCATGCACCGGAGGAGGGCGGGAGAGAGAGGCCGTTGGTCTCGGAGGCTCCAGGCATCAAGGGGAAGGCCTGGGTGAAACCCCGCTCCCCCCCCCGCAGGTTCCATGGGTACCACCGCTCTACCCCGACCAATGCCAGTCACTCCGCCTGGAGTCTGATCTGGAACGGGGTCTTGGGGACCGGTGGCGCTTGACGGATCTGCGACAGCCTGGAGCTGGCAATCTAGGTCTAGCGCTTGAAAAATGGTACCAGGATGAGGAGTGGGACCGGGAGAGGAATGGTAGCATCAATTGCTTGACGGGTCCCTGAAGCGGTACTATGGTCTTGGAGATACTGGGTGCTGGGGCCAGTACTCCTGGCTGGGGGCAGGTGTGGGGGGGGGGGCATGTGCTTCCAGAGGTTTGCGCCTGATCACCAGCAAGCTGCACCTAAAGCCTCTCTGCCAGTGCCCAATGTCTGGGAACCGAAGGAGGCCGTGCTGCATCTGCCTTTCACAGTCAGAGGCGTGGCGGCTACGGAAGGGCGAGCGCTGGTGGGACGTTCCCCATGACAGGGAACGGTGCCGCTGAGGTGGGGACCACACTGGTCCGAACGCAGGTTTACCCTGTCACCGGGGAACCGCAGGAGCCAGTGTGGGCAGCACCAGGAGGGACATGATCTCCTGTACCACCTGCAGGGCCTCTGGTGAGGACGGTACCTGGAGCTGGCAGAGGCCCCTGCCACTACTCGGGGTGGCTGGCGGGCATTGGGCTAGGTTACCCTGCTCAACCAGAGCTTGGGCCGAAGATCCCGATGGGGGTGAAGAGATACCCAGCCTGGGACCTGGCTCACACCCAGTATTATCCTTTCCCTTGCGGGAAGTTGGAGATTGAGCCCATGCCGCCTTCTTGGTCGGAGCCACTGATGGGGATTGTGGCCGGCCAGTGGACGGTCCTGGTGGGGTGCTGCGTACCGAGGTCACGGTGCTCGGCGTGGAGTCAGAGCGTTGCTCTGGTGCCGGGGTGAGGGCCAACTCCATAAGGATTGCTCTTAAGCAAATATCTTGCTCCTTCTTAGTCCTTGGCTTGAAGGACTTGCAAATTTTGCACTTTTCACTAACGTGCCCTTCACGCAAGCAACGCAGACAGCTGCTGCGTGGATCACTAATGGGCATGGGCCTCTTGCAGCAATCACAGGGCTTAAAGCATGGGGACCAGGGCATGGCCCATCCCGAGACAAAGTCCCGTTTGGGACCTACAAAGTCTCTAACTATAGCTAAGGGATTTACTAACACTAACAGAAAACTACATACACTATCATACAAGAATTAACAAGTTCATATGAACAAGAAAGCAACAGCGCCAGCTGAAGCAGCAACAATTCCAGCATGGTCACTGGCAGCAAGAAGGAACTGTGGGTTGGGCGGAGCCGGCAGTGCCCTATACAACATGGCATATGCGTGCAACTCCAGGGGGCGCTGGAGCTGGTCCCCTACAGATATTGCTGAGGGAAAAAGCTTCTGGCACCAGTGCATGTGGTGAGCATACACACTTAAGTTGAATGGACATGAGAAAGCACTCTAAGGAGAACTGGATTGTACAGCAGAAAAAGTAAACCGGAAAGATTTTCACTAATTTCAGTTTAATATTAGATATTACTTAGAGCAATAGTAGGCACAACATTTTCAGAAAGCAGTATTTTTTAAGTTGACAACATCCCTTTCAGAGTACTCGTTTACTGAACAAACTCCAGGCCAGGAGATATTTTTTTCCCCAACATTCTTTTGCCAAAAGTTTATATTCAGCTAAACTAGCTCTGTAGTCAGAGTATAGATTCTTTAAGTTATGACAAATATTGTCAAACCCATGACACTTATCTATTGAATCAGTGTGTAACCGGAAACTGTTTTTACTAGTTTGCTATCCATCTGAAACTACATCCTTAGTTTCAAGCCACCATGCAGGCTATTACACATCTTATAACCTCAGTCATATTCTGCCAGATATAGGACAGTATGAATTGCAGATATGGCTGCTCAGTTTCTCCTTGATTATTAGAAAACATTATTTGCACAGTGCTAGCCCCTACTAGCCCCAGAACCCATTATGTTTGGCACTGTTCAAATACACAAAGAGACAGTCCCTGCTCCAAAGATCTTATCGCAAGTGTAAGACATTAGGTGGTTATAGAGACAAGCGAGTAAAGGAAAACAAAATGAGACAATATATTGTCAGCATGGATAGACAGCTGGTGTGCTGAGACCATTGCTTAAGTGTTTCAAAAGCATAACAAAGCAGTGATTTAAGGAGGGATATGAATGATGACAGTGAAGTGGTTTTGTGGCTGTTTATGGGGAAATCTACCCATGTGTGAGAGGTAGCAAGGGCACAAGCATCAAGGTGCTGTTTCAAAGTGTAACAAATGGGTGATGAATGCTGGCATCTGTGGCACACCACATAAATGCTGTGGATATGACAACTCTTGTAAGAGTTGATAAGTATCATGGCAATAGACCAGGAAGGGCCTTGAAAACAGACAGATGAAAACCTGGCCCCACTGAAGTAACAATAGGAATTTTGCCATTATCTTAAAAAAAAAAAAAAAAAAAAAAAAAAAAAAAAAAAAAAAAAAAAAAAACAAAAAAAAAAAAAAAAAAAAAAAAAAAAAAAAAAAAAAAAAAAAAAAATCAGACAAAGGAACAGTATCCAGGAACTCTTAGTCTTGATATACACATTTTGTGGTGGTAAAAACTTGCAAATACACACTAACAAAAAGACATTTAGTGCCTCGGTCATATCAGTTTATGTATTTTTCTCAGAATTATACTGTTTTGAATATATCCCAGCATCTTTTGACTATGGCTTAGGGTTGGCCAGAAGTCTTCATTGTCTTCTCCAAATAACTTAAGAAAAAGTTTGGTGTATTTAACAATTTAGAATTTTATGAGTAGTTTAATTTTTTTCCACTCTCCAGTAAGCACCACAACTATGCTGACTTTTACCTGTGTTAAAATACACTTTGAGACCTTCAACCCTATTCAATTTTACCTTTTTCCTAGAACGCCCATCACCATAGTATTAAAGAGAGACAAACTGTAAGCTGTTGTCATTTTTATTAACCATTCATCTTTGGTATCCAGGTCATTTCTAGTTGTACTGAACTTCACTGGTCTTAGGGCATCCATCACAATTACTAAACTTCTAAAAATGTAAGGGAAGACTGTCCAAAATCAACAGCCTCTCCCACTCCTTAAACAAACCCGTTCCTCCTCCTCAGCATCCCTTGACTGCGTTCTCCAGTGGAGGGGAGGCAACTCAAGCAGACTTCTACACTTGTATTTGAGGTAAGCTAATAGAACTGGTCCCCATCCAGCAAACTTGATATGCAACGCTGACATCACATAACTAGAGCACTGAAAGGAATATCACCTCCCTACTCTGCAAAACATGTGTGATGTCATCTAGTGCAAAAGATACAAAGAACTCCAGTTTCATACCCCAATAGGGCAAGATTTTTCAAATATTTGGTTATAATTCTGTGCGATGTTAAGACTATATACATTCCCTGTATAATTTAATATCTTAAACACTTATAACAGAGGGGTAGCCGTGTTAGTCTGGATCTGTAAAATGGAACAAAGAGTCCTGTGGCACCTTATAGACTAACAGATGTATTGGAGCATAAGTTTTCGTGGGTGAATACCCACTTCGTCAGACGCGCTTATAGTTTTCCTCTTAGTAAGATCCAAAGAAAAGATGGGACCTTTACATGGGTAACAAGGATGTCTAGAGAGATAACAGTTAATGGTAAAAATAGTTTTTGGAAAGGTTAAAAAACCTCATGAGTCAGGGTTTAAGCTGGTCTCTAACTATTAAGGATTAGGATAACACCATTACGGGAGCAAGTTTTTTGCAACTTCCTCTGAGGCATCTGGTGCTGGTCACTGATGGAGACAATACTGGACTAGCTGGACCACAGGTCTGATCCAGTATGGCAATTCTTATGTTAAAAACATTTTACCTTTCAATTAATAACTGAATTCAAACAAATTCTATTCCTTACAAGGAAGCACATACTATTTTTCTTATTCAGATGCCACTTCGCATTATTAAGGTAAAAAGTATAATTAACCGTTTAATGCCAAGTTCAAACACACAATTCCTGAAAGAACTTACGACTACTTCCAAGTTCCTCAAACAGGAATTTCACTTTCTCCCACTCAGTGGAATTTCTCTTCTGGGGAACATCCAACGGAACGAAGGCACTATAAACAAGAAAAAAAAGTTAACACTTCTTAAAATTTTTAATAGTCATTAAAACTTCAGAACTGCAATAGACTGCCACTTAAAAGAAATATTTTAAGGGGAATCAATCTACCCCTGAAGAAAAAAAAATCTCCTACATCAAGCTGAATTATATATACACACAAAAAGAATGATTTTCTTCCAGACCAATTTTTCGTTTTAGTTTATATCCCTTCATACTAGCTATGCTTTTGTATAAATCAGTTTCCAATGTTGCAAATATTCTGTCTGCAAGTTATAAGGAGTATAATAGTGCTCTCTTCAGTTAAGATAGCTATCCTAAACAGGTAGTTTATTTTCAGTGTACAGCTCTGGGTTCTTCATACATAGAAAATAGTGGAGGGCATGTTATCAGATGCAGCAGCACTGGCCAACTGCACAGTTGAGAGCGGGACTTAAGCATTTCAGTTATCCATTCAGTGTTGGACAGCATTAACTTGCACTTTTTTTATACTGCTGTAGAAAATGCTTGTTAAGCTAAAATACTTATCTTCATAATACATTTTGGCCCAATTTGAATATAGATTCATAGATTCTAGGACTGGAAGGGACCTCGAGAGGTCATCG